GGGCAAGCAGCCAAAAAGCCTGCCCTTGACAGCGACAGCGCCGAGGACGAAAAGAGAAAGAAGCGGAAGTCTGACAGTTCTGATGCTGGGACTTAGTCTTTAGGGTTAGGGTTTCGGGTTAAAATACGTGGATCATAAACCCCTAAACCTTAAACCCTAAACCCCTAAACCTTCAAAGCCCTAAACCCTGCCGAACTATGAACCCCCCAAGGGGCAAGCAGCCAAAAAGCCTGCCCCTGAGTAGTAGTCTACTCTTGTGTAGACTGTAGTCCCCAGTATCCCAGGCCCCTAAAGGATCCAAAAAATGGAACCCCCCCAATATGAACCTATTATTACATTAGGGGAACTAAGGGATTGTTAGGGGTTACATTTTTTGGATCCTTTAGGGGGTCTGGGATGGAGTAAGGGTATATCCTCCTGTCGTTTAGGGTCTAGGGTTGAGGGTTGGGTATGGCATGTTATAAGAGAAGGGTAATTAATCCTATTTGGTTCGGCCAGCAGAAAAAGTTAGGTACTTGGAGTGGCAGGGGTGGCTACGAGTCCGGTAGTATGTCATCTCCAAGCGGACTCACCAAGCATTCTAAAGCATCTACCCCACCAACAAAGGATTCGGGCGATGAGAAGGAGAATGAGAAGGAGGATGAGAAGAATGCTGATGATGATGAGGACCACCAATCTTGTTAGTATCGTTTTGCACGCCTCATATGGTAGTTTCCCAAAATAGGGGGACCAGAATATAGATCCCTAAATATTATAGCACCCCTAATTTTGGGAAACCCCCATATTCCTCATAAAACAATTCTAAGTCTATGCCTCAAAACCCGAGTCTAGTCATTCTGAGCACAGTAATAGTTGTTGCTGAAGCCCTGAACCCTAATCCCCAAATCTGTTTCCGGAAGGTGTAGTTATATTAGGGGTATATTGGGATAATGAAAAAGAAAATGGAAACCATGATAGTAATAGTAGTAACAATAATCATGAAGCCCTAAACCCCAAAGCTGTTTGAAGAAAGGTGGGCTGAGTATCCTGGCTTTGTAATCCATGCTTGGGGTTCCTGGTCCGATGCTCGGTTCGTGCATCAGATTCTGGACCTCTACCAGGTGCCCCTCCTAGATGTACCCAAAAGTATATGTTAGGAGGACCCCCCCAGCCTGTAATAGTGGTATGATAGGAATATAAGAGGACCTTAATATAATCCTATTATCCATAATAGTCACTACAACTGGGTGGGGGTTCCACCTAAAGCATATGTGACAATGGTGCTTTTGCCTGTGTTTAGGGAGTTTTGGGGCCATTCTTTTACGTTCTCTTGGGGTCTAGGTACGGTTTAGGGTGATTGAGAAGCTAAACTGTTACGACTGACACTGGCCAAGGAAGGAAGGAAGGGCTCATTTGTTTTTGAGTTTAGACAGCTTTCCTTAAAGAAAAAGGGTGAGCGGATACCGAAATTGTTTCGTCCATTTGGGGGGAGAGATTCTACTTAGATTCTACTCTGTATCGTGGCTCCATACGGTATCATACTACAATTACGGAGGAGTCCCACTCACCGACGGTCCACATGAAGTTGTCACAGAGCAGTATCAATTTTTTGAGGCCAGTCCTATACTGTTAGAGGGTTTAGGGTTTCGGAACATGGGGGTCCCTAAACCCTAAACCCTGACCCTAAAGCCCCACACGAATTGGAATGGAGACTTGAGCTCGACAAGGAATGCCTTGGCTTGATGATTTTGCAAAATTGCCTGGCGAGGGTGTTTTGTTTGTTGTGTTCTGTTGTTGTAGGTTTAGGGCATAGGGTTTAGGTTTTAGGCGCTGTATAGCTAAAGCATGAACAATGCATATGCGCCGCTCTAAACGCTTCCAACAATGCGACAATTGAACACGGACAAGTCTCCCAAAGGTTCACAGAACTCCATCCTAAATCCTAAACCCCCAAACCCTAAACCCTAACCCCCAAACCCTAAACCCCCAAACCCTCAATCCTCAGCCCTAAATCATCAGATGCCAGGCCCTAAACCTTAAACCTTCGCATTACTCAGATCATTCTTGCTTAAGTGGGGGTTTCCTAAAATTACAGATACCCTTTTGGGCGCCCAATAAAAAGGACTATAGTATTTGGGTGTCTATATTGGGGTCCCCCTATAGGAAGCTCCCAAATGTATTTCCATGACTAGTCAACTATCTCCTTTTAAAGGCCTCAATAATATTCGGATGCCCACGATGATCAAGGGTAGGGGGTTTGTTAATTTGGGGTCTGGGTTAGGGTTCTTTTTTGAAGCCTTGGAGGAGGGTACGCAGTCCGCTCCGCCGGACAGCGATGATGAGAAGGAAGCAGAGGAGGAGCTTGGGGTCTAGGGATTGCGGGCGTTTGAGGGCTTGAGGTCTGAGCTTAACCCTTAACCCTTAGCCCTAGCCCCTAGACCCTCAACCTTATAAGCCCTAAACCCTAAACCCCTATAAGCCCTAAACCCTTAACCCTGAACGCTAAACCCTAAGTCCCGAACGGGGCTTTGAGTTAGGAGCTCAGGGGTCTGTAGACTTCAGCTGCTGTTGGAGCTAAGAGGTTAACGGCGTGGCTGTATGATGCATCATCCGCTCAAACTAAAATTCAACACTGACGCCCATAATGTCAAATCTGCCTCATCAGAAACCTTACACTCCCCCAAACTAACATGGAAACCCATATAGCCCCCCTTTAAAGGGACTGTAGTCTTTATAGGGCCCTTTTTGGGTTTCCATGTTAGTTTCCGGGAGGGTAACCCTGTTAGCCTTTTAAGGATTACAAGAGGGTGATTTGGAGAACCGCAGGA